CAGTGTCAAACTCTAAGCTTAAAAAGATTATTAAGATCACAGGTGTCTGAAGCTAATTTTCAGGTGACTATTCATCTCCAATTTTCCTTTTGATTTACATATATTAGCTCGGAAACAGTAGATTGTTTTGATATTCTGTTGGATTTGAGTGTTTTTGTTTTATGTTATTGAGCAAGAATCGTCTTTTGATTATACGAAGAAATGTCCAATTTCGGTTTGCAGAAACGAGATGGGTATATACCTTAGTTCTCCGAAAACAGATAAGTTCTCAGAAGATGGCGAAAATGATAAACTTAGATATGGCTTATCGTCTATGCAAGGTTGGCGTGCATCCATGGAAGACGCAGTGAGTGAAAAAAAAACTCAAAAAGTTGAAACCTTTCTTTTTTTCTGTTCTGCAGATATTTGTTTCCTAACTGATTCAATCACTGGTTTTTAACTTTTGTAGCATGCTGCAATACTTAATCTGGATGATAACACTTCTTTTTTGGGTGTCTATGATGGCCATGGAGGTAAAAAAATCTGTGTTTTTACTTTTTGGACGAATTTTCACGCTTTAAGCTTTGTGTTAAGAGCTCCCAAAGCAGCTAGAGCTTGAAGACTGATATCAAGCTTCGTTATTTACATGGAGTCTCAAATGATTTTGGATGGTGTTTTAGGTAAAGTTGTTTCAAAGTTCTGCGCCAAGTATCTACACCAGCAGGTTCTCAGTAATGAGGCATATGCAGCTGGAGATGTAGGGACTTCTCTTCAGAGATCATTTTTCAGGTAACTTAGGATTTGGTAGCGTCAAGACTCAAGAGAAAGAGTCTCGTTTTGTTTTGAAGTTGGGCATTAAGTGTTTTGCTCTTTTGTTGCTGTGTGGTTACTATTGTAGAATGGATGAGATGATGCAAGGACAGAGAGGATGGAGAGAATTAGCAGTACTCGGTGACAAGATCAATAAGTTTAGTGGAATGATTGAAGGGCTTATATGGTCACCAAGAAGTGGAGACAGCGCTAATAAACCTGATGCTTGGGATTTTGAGGAAGTAAATTTTCCTTTCCTTACCTGCATAATGATCGAATTAGAACTGAGACTGAGACTTGTGGCTTCCTTGTGAAAAACAGGGTCCTCATTCTGACTTTCCTGGACCTAATCCTGGGAGCACAGCATGTGTAGCTGTTATTAGACACAAGCAGCTATTTGTTGCAAATGCTGGTGACTCACGTTGTGTTATATCCAGAAAGGGTCAGGTAAAACACTGTTTCGTTAGGCATTTTGAAGTGTTATGATTTTAGAGTTTTTGACATTTTTAAGTGTGTCTACAGGCTTACAATCTTTCTAGAGATCACAAACCAGAACTTGAAGCTGAGAAAGAAAGGATATTGAAAGCTGGCGGATTTATTCATGCTGGGAGAGTCAATGGAAGCTTAAATCTAGCAAGAGCCATCGGTAACCTCTTCTACACATAATGCCAACTTGTATACATCATGCAATTCTGATTGGAGCTGCTCTTTGTCTCTTTTACAGGTGACATGGAATTCAAGCAGAATAAGAATTTGCCGTCTGAAAGGCAAATGGTTACCGCAAGTCCAGATATCAACACTGTAAGTGTGTCTAATGCCGTCTCTCTTTCTCCTGAAACATCTTGTATTAACACTTATGTTTTTCTTCCTCTTCAGGTTGAACTCTGCGATGATGATGATTTCCTTGTTCTTGCCTGCGATGGAATTTGGTATAATCAAACTTAAAAAGTTGTTCTCCAAGCAAGTTCCTTTCTAGATAGTGAGTGATATTGATACACCTATCTTGGTTCATCTCATATCTGCAGGGATTGCATGACTAGCCAACAACTCGTTGATTTTCTACATGAACAGATGAATTCGGTAAGCTTACGTGATTTGTCTTCGTTTGGATTACAGTTTCCCTTTTCTCCCAGTCTTTCCTCTTCTGGATTTCTACAGTTTCTCTTTTGTAACGTTCAGGAAACCAAACTCTCGGTGGTGTGTGAAAAGGTTCTCGATAGATGTCTGGCTCCAAACACTGCAGGTGGTGAAGGCTGTGACAACATGACCATGATCTTGGTTCAGTTCAAGAAGCCTCTTCAGTCCACGGAACCTACTCCATCAGCAACCGAACCAGAACCAAGCCATGATGAGCCCAGCTCGTCAAAGTAGTCCCATTACAGAAGATAACATCTAGTATTTTTGGCTCAATATGTAAATGCTTTTGAAAGACTTATACCACAACCTGACCTGTCTGAGGATTTCAGTATTCCAGTTCCTCTGATTCCAGACTTTTGTATCACGAGATTCCAGAATTATTAGTGAAATGTTATTGGCCTTAAAGATCATATCATCATCATATAAACAAACAAAACAATATGACATTTACACAAAACGTTTTGTATTTGTACACTTCACATTGACAAACTTTTCACCAGAAGCTTCACTTAATGTAGAGCTCTTCTAATTGTACTAGCTGCGTAACATGTCAAGCTTTATTGGGGAGCTGTTCGTATGTTCCTGTGTTGGGGCTAAAACCTCCGGTCACCATTGTCTGATACACCGCGTAAGCGTGCTCGGGCTTTCCAGACAAACTGAATCCACGGATCAGAGCGTTAAATGTAAAAACGGTTGGTTCAAGACCCGCTCTTTGAATCTCCTCGTAGATCTTCCCAGCTTCTTCAACCTTTCCGGCCATACCAAGATTTAGAATCAAGGAGTTGTAAGTGTAGAGATCAGGGGTGATTACTCTGCTGTTCTTCATCTCATTGTAAAGCTCAAGAGCTTCTTCAAGTCTCTGAGACTTCCCGAGTCCATTGATCATTAGATTGTAACAAACTACATCCGAACTGAGGCCAGATTCCTTCAGTTCATTGAAGTAATGCAAGGCATCATCCACTCTTCCATCCATACAAAGGCAATCAACAAGAACAGAGTAAGTCTTGAGATCTGGTCTTACTCCTTCTTTAACCATCCTTTTGAACAACTTGCACGCTGCATCAGCCTCACCGGCTTTTCCAAACCCGTTGATGAGAATGTTGTAGATAGCACAGTTTGGCCTGCAGCCATAATCCAACATCCCTTCAAAGAGTTGTTTTGCTTCATATAATCTTCCTGACTTAGAGAGGCCATCGATAAGTGGACCATACGTGCAAACAGTTGGAGAGAAGTCCCCATCACTGATAAGATCATAGTACAAATCAAGAGCCTCGTCCACATTTCCTGCCTTCACGAGCCCGGACATGACAATGTTATGACTTATTGTGTTTGGTTTGCACTCATGGGAAGACATCTCTTTGTACAGCTCAAAGAGTTCGTCGATCTTTCCTGATTTTCCATAAGCATCAAGCAAGAAGTTGTAAGTAGAAACATCTGGGATGCAACCAGTGCTCTTCACCTCTAGGAACAGTTCCTCTGCTATTTCAATCATATCAGCTTCAATAAGCCCGCCTATTAGCAGATTATAGGTCGGAAGTTTCGGTTGGACACCAAGATCTTTTGTGAATCTCTCATATATAGTTCGAGCACCTGAAGGATTACCATGTTTAAAAGAATATCTGAGTATTGGCACCAGGATCGATTCACCATCTCGACAAATCCCATTACTGACCAATCTCTCAGAGAAAGAAACGGCATTGTCTATTCCAGCTTCAGCCAAAACAGACCCCATCAAGTCTTCCCAGAAGAGATTGGTTGGTTGGTCTGCACAGTTGTGAAGAAAGTTAGCAATGATTTTGTAAGCATCTTCGATCAAACCGGCCTTGACAACACCTGGAAGAAGAGTGCAGAGGGTAACAAAATCAGGTAAGACCACTTTCTTCATCTGGTGGAAGAAACACATTGCTTCTTTGACTTGACCATTCTTCACCAAACCATAGATAATCGTATTGTAAGTGAAAACATCCGGGACACAGCCCATGTCCATCATGTTGAACAGCATCTTCAAGGCTAGAACCACCTCGTCGTTTTTGCAAAGACAATCAAAGAGAGTGTTGAATGTTATCGTGTTAGGTGGACAACCTTTCTCCGCCATCCCCTCGAACAACTCAATCGCCTCCTGAATTTTCCCATTCTTGCCTAAACCTGAGAGCAATGTGTTGTAAGTCACAACCGTAGGCTTGAGCTTCATTTCCTTCATCCTCATAAACATCTCCCACGCCTCATCTACTCTATCAGCTTTGTAAAGCGTATTGATCAAAGAATTAACAACGATCACATCAGGTTCACAATCGTTCTCCACCATCTCAGAAAGCAGCTTGATGGCTTCGTCTACTTCCCCAACCTTACTGTAGCACTTCATCATCATGTTATAGGTCACTGAATCAGGAGCAAGCCCTACGTTTTTCAAGCCATAGAAGATCTGCTTCGCTTCTCGGTCCCTTCCCGCTTTAGCTAGACTATAAAGAGACGCATTACAGGCTACAATGTTCGGAGCTATTCCTTTGACCTTCATCTTCTCAAATGTCTCAAGAGCACTCACAGAATCACCAGACTTTCCATAGTAATCAATGAAAACAATGTACGTATAAGCAGTAGGCTTAACACCTAAAGCTTCCATATTTCCAAAAAGCTCAAGTGCATCATCCAACCTGTGAAATCTCAGAAGACCACAAATCAAAGTGTTGTACGTATGTAGATTCGGTAACACACCTTGCTCCTTCATCACATCCAAAGTCTCAAACGCTTCTTCAAAGTTCCCAGCTTTGCACAGAGCATCCACAAGAATAGTAAAAGTTACAACATCAGGCACATGACCATCCTTCTCCATTTCACTCCAAAACTGCCTCACTGAATCCAAATCTCTGCTATCACTAAACTTATCCAGCAAAGTAATGTAAGTCACAAGATCCGGCTTGTGCCTTCCCGTTTTCATCTTCTCGAAAACCTCCTTAGCACAGTCAAGCTTCTTAGCAGTACAAAGAGCATCAATAAGAACAGTGTAAGTAACCACGTCAGGTCCACATCCTTCTTCATCCATTCGCTTCAGTATCGCATAAGCTTCGTTAATCTTCCCCGCCCTACCAAGCACCCTAATACATATCGTAAAAGTGTAGACATTTGGCTTCAACCCCAAAGTCTCCATCTCTTTGAGTAAACCCATCACAGACTCAATGTCTCTTCTTTTCCCCAATCCCACCATAAGCGAAGAGTAAGTCTGCAAGCTAGGCCTAAAACCTTCCAAGATCATTCTCCTATAAACCTCCATTGCCTCTGTGCAGAATCTAGACTTGAGCAGAAGATGGATCAGTCCATTGTATGAATAAGCATTCAACGCAAAACCAGACTCTCTCATCTTCCCAAGTGCGTAAGGTGCTTGCCGCAATCCACCTTTCACAGAAAGCAGCTTGAAGATTGTCAAGAAAGTAGTAGCATCCCTCTTTATGATTCTCTTCTGCATAAAATCAAACACATAAGCCATTTCCTCAGTTTTACCATCAACCCTCAACGCTTCAAGCATGTAGTTGCAAGTCTCAGTGGTGTGAAGTAAATTCGGATTCTCAGCCACTGATTTGAAATACGTAAACGCAGAGTCGGTATCAGGCATCGACGTTAGAACCTTGGTAACTTCATCCGACGAAGAATTAGATTTCAAGGTCTTGCTTATCATAGAAACCGAAAAATCTGAGCTTTTCACTGAGACTACTCTACATCTCATGGCTTTTCTCCACTGTTTCTTCCGATGAAACACCGACCCAACCTTCAAAGCGTGGAGCTTTAATCCGCCGGTAACCAAATTATCGCGTCTCCAATAGCATTTCCCTTTGCTGTTACTAAGTAGAAAAGTATCAGTGACCGTAATATCACCGCACAGACTCGTCGAGCAGAGTAATGCTACCATTTTGTAAAGATAAACCAAGCAACTGATTCCCCGGAAAATTGAAGTGAAACAGAGAGATTAACGATGATTCATCACATTTCAAGTGGAGAAGAAGACGGAGCTAACAAAAGTCACGAATATTTGGATAAGTCTCCGTTCACCGGCCGTGAACACTATGGAGCTGACTTCCGGTGAACAATAGAATTCCGATGAAAGATAAAAAAATAAAAAGAGGAACGAAAGGATAAACCCAGCGACTCCGTGGCTCCACTAGCTCATGAGTCCTCACCATTTTTCATTCCCTCCCAAAGTATCTTGAGGCCCAAATTGGTCTAATGGGCCCATTTACCTTTAATTATGTTCTTAGTTTTGGTAACATTCTGATTTATTTTTCGTATAAAACTTAGTATCATTTTTCTTTTTTGGGTTTTAAATCATGTTTTTTCCTCTTCGTCGTTTAACTTTTGATTAGATCCAGAAATGAACAAGAGGAAGAACAATTCCGATTGAATAATAAAATTAATTGATTTAGTAATAACAAGACAAGCGAGAGAACACAGATCTCTCTGCTTCATGTTCGAAAATTAATAAATAAAATAGAATTCTGACTAAAAGCAAAACAAAGCTTCTGCTCTCTCAGAAGAAGGCACAGAATCCAAGAACAATGCTAACAACGACACCGAACACGCCGGTGAGCTTAGCAGCACCACTAGTCGGAGCAATGGCGGGACCATCGGTAGGAGAAGGAGCCGGAGCGAAAACAGAGTTGCGAGGACTGATGACGACTAGGCGTAGCTTCTGACCCTTTTGGCAGTGACCTTCTGTTCCACTAATGAAGTAGACCGGACCGGCTTGGTCCAGCTTCACCTTGGTGTTTCCGTCGGTATAAGTGGCTTTCGGGCTCGTGGTGTTGCATTTCTCGTAAGACTCTCTTGTCACTTGCAGAACCGAGTCTTTACCTGCTTCGTACCTGAACACTGAAACAGACATGCGGCAGTGTCAGAAACAGAGTAATATCGAAGATTAAACATGCAAAATGTCTAATTGAAAACAAAAATTGACGAAATGGGATTTGTGGGTTTCTTAAGGATTTGAGGGGGTATACCGAGAAAGTCGCCGACTTTGAAGCGAGCTTGTTGAGCCCACTCGTTGAAAGAGTAAGAAGAGGAAGGAGGAATCTTCCAGTCACCGGATTTGCCGCCGACGGTAACCTCATTTGCATACGCGGACAAGAAGAAAAGGAAGGAAATGCAGAGGAAGATGGTGACTGAAAGAGAAGAAGAAGATGCCATCGATTTCAAACTAAATACTATTTTTGTACTGAATATATATCACCTGAAAAGTATTAGTGAGTGAGTGAGTGTATATTGTTGTCTGAATGAATTGGAGATGAAGAGTGTTGGAGGATCTTGTCTGGTTTTTTATAGAGGAGAGATTCGGAAACTAGCCGTTGAAGATTGAGAAAGAAAATTAAAAGGAAAATGTTGAAATGTTTGATTTAGCCGTTGGGGCAGATGATAAAGGTGACGTAACGGTTGGGTAAGGGACAACACCTGGGAATCTGACAGAAATTTGATTTCATGGTTCTCAAGGAAGACTGGTCAATGCTTAGCTGTTTCCCTTTTCTACTCACCTTTTTGTTTGCTAGTGTAATTAGACTTCCATAATGTTGGGCCTTGAAGTTGAATAAAAGACATCGCTCAAAAGCCCACAAGAGGCAGTATATGTATAACTACATTGTATGTGTACATATGAATCTATGATAATTTGTTGGCACCTGGATTTTAGTTACTATGGTTAAGGCATGACACGTGCCTAATACGTTTACTACAGAAAACAAACAGAATCAGCTAGGTGTCCCTTATTGAGACACATAATCAAACTCAACGACATTACGTGTCTTCAAGACTCTTACCAGCTCCAAACCTCATAAGCTAAAACAAAGGGGTTTCTTGTTTTGGTTAGTATAGAGCTTTCAAGTGAAATTTAAGGAGAAAAATATTGAAGAGAGGACATAACTATGGCTGGAGAAAATGACTGGAAGAAAACGGCGGATACGACGAAGATGAGCTCAGAGGGAGTGAAAGCTGCCGGGGTTGACTCATCAAAGAGGCCACCCGGGAGTAATCCTGGCGGTGTTCTCCATCAACGCCGTAACTTGCCATACAGCTACACAACCATGGCTATCGCCGGGTTAGCTATAACCGGAGCAGTCATGTACACTGTTATGTATGTTAAGAAGAAGCCGGAGGCTAGTGCCGCTGATGTAGCTAAGGCTGCCACGGGGACGGCTAAACCGGAAGATACACATCCAAGAAAATGAAACCCCAGAGAAGAAAGAATGTGGTTTTTCATTTGCTTTTGTATTTTTTTTTCTTGCTTCTGCTCAATGTTTTTGTCCGAACTTTTTTATTTTGTTGTGGTATCCTTCATGTGATCAACTACTTGAAACAGAATAATAAAATTGGAGGGATAGAACATAAATTTTGTAGCTGTCTAGTGAAAGAAAACTATTTCAATGCTAACGGATTTGAGTTCAAGTTTAGTGAGAGGTCACATGTTTTACTATCTACAGATGTTTTGCAAGTATTATTAAAGATTAATTTCCGACTTAGGTAGGCTACTATGTAAAACTAGTTAAGACATCTTTAGGAAACGAAAACATAAAACTATTTGTAGCTGTGACCACACTTTGGGGATTGTCATTGCTTAAGCTCTATGATTTTAACACCTATCTGTTAGCCTTATGATGCAGATCCGTGTGTAGGATAAAAGTCTATTCATAATGCATAACACCTAGCTAAGGCTCATTTATCGTGTCGTGTAGCTTTTAGAAGTAGACTCGGGCTTGAGTTGCGTATATCGGGCCTTATCCTACAATATGTGTACAGCATCATCATCGATGATCATGATTCATGGCTTTCAGGGATTCCGAGCGGATCTTTTGATTGTTTGTTAATTAGTTTTTGATTAAAATTGTTATTAAAATATCTTCAGGTCGGTTTAATGTACATAGGTTTAGTTTGAAATATTTTCGAAGAAATTGTGTTTATATGTATTTTATTGTTCTGATTAAAAAAGTTGAGTTTGTACACTGTCACATAAAAATCGTAGGAAAACACTTAAATTTGAACTATGTACCAAGTAAAAACTAATAAGATAAAGTATTCAACTAGTAAATGTATTTTCTATATAGTTTTAGATAACTTTTTTTTTTTGTTTACAAAAGTTATACTTCTAGTAGGATTCTAATAGTCAATTAAAAAATTATGGCAAGTTAAATCTATGAGGTAATTGGTGATTCGCATGTTTTTAACAAAACGGAGATTAGCATAAATTATGATCGTAACGTTAGAATAGGAAAATAATTAGGTGAGTCTACTTAATGGCCCGAAAAAGTAAGTTTATAGAAATAGGCTGTTAGGTAGAAACACTCATGTGTTGCTTTACGAGCATAAAACCTGGACGACAAATCTCTTTTCTTCCTCACCAACTGCACACATTTTGATTATTTATCAACATTTTCGTCGTTAATTAAGTTAATCATCGTTTTGCTGTAATCAGTTTCGATTAAACGTTCAGAGCTTTACCTAACACAATTTCGTTTCAAATATCCATTATTTTAAAACATTAACCTTTAATGTCGCAGCAAGAATTAAATTACTCTAATTATTTATCTAGTAATTCGGTTTTGTGGACCGACGTCTTATTCGTGAAACCCATATGTAACGATTCTCATTTGACACATATAGCTTACTATTACCAAACTCACAGAACTGTTACAAACATCCAAACAAGTACAGTCCATCTTCTTGGAGTCTTCTGTCCATGTTATTCAGTAAGGAAACAACAAGATAGAGGGAGGCCTGAAAACGACGAAAGTTATTCTAAGGAAAACTATTTGTACATTCCAAAATAATTCAAATAAGTTTTTCACGTTCCCTCTTACACAGAGAAAAATTCTAAGGGGAAATAATTGTCAACGAACGAAACTTTAGTCTACTCGAAAAAAAATATATAGGAAAAGAGGTAAAAGGAAAATAGTTTTTTTATAAAAAAAGTTGAAGAAGGGGGAAAAAGAAGAGAAGAAGCACAAGGTTGCAATTATGGAGGTTTGGACCCCATAGTCAGTGTTCACCATCATTTGTTTATGATGCCTTATGCTCACGCCTGTCTTTCAATTAACCTTTTAATTTTTTCAACATTTAACCTTTGCAATTAGTCGTTTGACGCATAATCATTTTCAGCTGCAAAATTGAAAGTTTTGGTTTCGCTTGTATATAACTATATATGTAATCGCCTATGTTCAATTGAGGCCAGGTTTCCCAATAATCTTTTAAAGACTAAAACCATTCACTAAGAGAAATCATTTGAGTTTACAGATATATCATAGATGCATATGCATGTCATGATTGTTGTTAGTATTATAAGATAAAAACGCAAACGCAATACTACACCTATTTTAAATACGAAAGTTGTGTGGATTATCACATCGTTCATACACCGACATGCATGAATATGCTCTCTTTCTATAATCTATTGATTTGTCGATTTAATCTGGATTATAGGACACCAGCCAATAAATTTTAGTAATAAAGGATTTTCCACTCGTCCACACAACCCATAAACATGAGGTTCAAACCCATTACTTTTGAGTGTAATTTTGCTCATATATTGCCATTTCTATACAAAGCTCGATAAAAGATAAAATTATGTTGTTTTTAAATGTTTGCAGCGAAGAAATCTCAAAGGAATTGAAAGGATAATAATAATATTGGGTGATGCATTTAATATGGATGCAGTGTATGTGTATGTAATGGTAAAAGAGGTAGGCTACTGTATAAATATAATGCAACGATAATAATGGAGCTACGTCTAGTCTTTTCTCATAAACCACATGCCATTGCTTTTCCTTCTGTGCTCTCAACGTCTCACCTATGCATCTCATATTATACCATCCAACGAGGAAATATATGCTTATTTACACTTCTAATAATACACCCCTTATTATGGCCTTATACCCATATGATAACGTCCGTACATGCAACCAGTGGAGAGTCCACTTTAAATTCTCCTATTTTTAAAAAAATAATACATATATATAACGGAGCATATATACAATTAGTGTATATATAGATTAAAGAGTTACATGACCAGTATCACATAGAATCACATGTCCAGTTTATATGCTCATCGATCTTTTTAGCGAAGACGCGGACAAATCAAGTTGTTATAGTTAAGCCAATAGCTAGAAGTACAGTAGAACGAACGAGCAAGCCCTGCATGTCAACCCTCATTTACTACTTAGTCTACTTAGTTTTGGGACCATATATATACATCTCCATAACTACGTTGCGACTCTTACGATACGTGTTTTGCGTTCATATATAATTGAGCTATGATCACGTGGAAACAGCTACGGCACGTAAAGAAAATTGACATGCAGACCCCACCAAATTACATACTCCAATAAAATGGCCAAAAACATTAATACCTTTTAAACCAAAACGGGTCCATTCAAGATCTTGACTACGCCATTTGTGTTAATGTCTTGAGAAAATTGTCACCACAAATAACAGATCACGTTACCATCTCTTAAGAGAAAAACAACAAACTAATACACACGTCGTGTTGATTTTTCAGCTTGCCTAGACTAAAATGGAATAATAAATATGAAAACCTAATAATAAATGTATCGGCCGTATGATTTAGCAACAGTCTTTTCAATACCCCGACCGACTACTACAGCAGCTAGCCGTGGACACTATGGTTGATTATTTAAGAGACATGATATCTTCATGGGTGTGAAAAATAAATAGAAAATACAAATAGTGACATCAAGGATAAACTTTACATGAAGCTTCCTTTGAGACAAAATGACGTTCGTATAAAGACAATTGCTTTCTAAAAAGTAAAACTATTATAATTATCAGGGTCACCTCAAAGACTCAAACTATACAAAGTATAATGCTACAATTTTAATTTAAACTTAATTTGCAGTTAAACAAAAAATAAGCACCATGTTTTCCATATAAATTAAAAATATATATAGAAAATACTTATACAAACGAAAAAACTGCGTGACAAAACACCACTTACACGTTCAAATAAACAGGCATGTATATTATTCTCTAAATAGTAGTTATTACAATTAAGTTATGTATACTATAGTTTAAGTGAAGTGCAAAGACAACCATGAATAGAAAACTTCTAAATCTATCATTTCATTATCTCTGCAATCCATTGAGTAGTGAGATAATCAAGGTTGGCCGAATCAGGTTTTTGTCTGGACCTGGGGCACGTTGGGTTGGTGCATGAGTTATTATGTAATGCTAGCTCTTTTGTGAGTTTTTAGCAATTCAAACGAACCTTTTTATATGAGCGCGATTCCTTGGTGGTTTTAAAATTTAGTTACAATTTTTGACTTTTTTGTTTCTATAATAGTTTCAGATGTAGAGGAGTCAAAGTTATAAAGAACATTATTTGTTCATTAGAAAGCTTTTTGCATGCAAAGTCAATAATGTTAGGAAATGCAAATTCTGACTGAGACTCGTGAGCATCTAGAATAACGGAATCAAAAAGTCAAAGTGTCTCTCTCTCGACAAACGGGTTCCGTTGGGACTGGCTACCAAAAACAGAGTGTCTGGCGCGTCGGTTTCACGGCGTCACGGTCCCGCGCACCAACTAAAAAGAAGCAGCTAAAAGGACACCCAACTACACGTGTCCTGCTTTCATTCGAGATTTAGAAGTAGTGGTCTACGACTCGCGCGTTGGGAAGTAGCAGAAGAGAGAAGGGAACGAGTCAAAGCGAGGAAGGTACTGCAAACCTCACACGCGAGCGATGCAGCGTATACTTTACGCGCTGAAACGCATATGCGCCTCTCGTGCTTTTTGTTTGAGCCTTCGAGGCTTCGAAGAGATTTTTGTTTTTGCTCTTTTTTTCCCTCTTTTTTTTTTGTTTGTTTAAATACTCTGTATATAGAGAAAATGCATACTATCAAACTAAAACATTAGTATTACAGAGTATATACACAAACAAAACAAAACATTTATTTAAATACTATGAAACACACATGCATGTTTTCATTTTCCATGAAAACACGTCATAACATGCATACTATCAAACTAAAACATTAGTATTTGACTATTTTCTAGACCGACGCAGGAGAGAATGACAAGTTCATTATTTCCTTTTGCACCTATAAATCATTAGATTGTCTAACTTTGTACTGTACTTGTAGTGAAACCTCTAATCATTTTCTTCTACACGGATATGTATGTCTCGTTTCAACTTACCCACCGGAGTCAATGGAGCGTGAACTTGTCATTCATTGGAATAGATGTTGTTAAGTGATTTCAATAAAAGTCATAAACGTAAATTTGTAACGCATCATTATATTTTTTTTGCTTTAGTTCTTCACCTTTCTGGCTTTCTTTAAAATCAAATATTGTTCAACTTTATGGTAAAAAAAAATATTGTTCAACTAACATAAACCACAGCTTTTATTTGATTGATGTAGTATTTACTGTGTGTGTATTGTTAAGGTCTCAAGGAGTTTTTATATATTTAAACACGCAAAAGTTTCGTTAGCTAAACGCGCATAAACTTATTCATTTTTTCTACCGCGCATAAAAACCTAAAGACGTAAGAATAGATAAATTGAAGTGATTAAAGAAAAGATAAACCAGTTGTTAATCAAACATTTCAAACAACTTAGCTGGCTAATTTAGAATATTTGCAGCTAGATTCCCACTCCCTTTTTCCTTTTCTCTAGTTCCTTTCAATTTCACCATTCTTTTTTTATTACTTATAAAAATATTTTCTCAGACTAGGATTGTAGGAGAGACAACTTCGTCAGACCGAAAATAAATCATCATCATTCCTCATCCCTTCCCGAGCTCAAAGCGAAGCAAGCGAGAGAGATCCATATTCATTATAAAAATCAGAAAAAAATAACTCTTTCATTGAGATTTGAGCCTCAGAGAGAGAGAAGAAGAAGAAGAATAGAAGAGGGAACGAGAAGATCTCCAGCGGATCAGTCTCGCTTTAAAAGCATTGGCGGCGATTGATTTCATCTCTCTCCTTCCTCTTCATCCTTTAATATTCTCTCTCTCTCAAAAATACTCAAAGCCCTCTATTCTCTCTCTCTCTATGTTCCTTTCTATACGCCATTTAAGTTTTGCTTTTCTGTGTGTGTGATTATGATGATGGGATTATCTTTCTGAGGCTTTTATTTTCCCGGAAAGTTAAGAGAGAAAAATAAAAACAGAAAAGAAAAGTTTGGAACTTTATGGTTTTCTCTGTTTACACAGAGAGACAATAAATGTGTTAGTTGAGATGGGAGAAGGAAAAAAAAAAAAGCCCGTAGTCCGAGGAGTTGGGTTCTTGCAAAAGGATAGTGAGGCAAAACATGGGTTTGGTTTCTCTTGTCTCTCTTCAAACATCCATTTCCATTAATGGTCTCTCCCTCTTCCAACAAAGCTCAACTTAAAAGAAAGAGAACAACATTTGCCTTTTTATTTTATTTCTCTGGTTCTGGTTTTGATTTGATCTGGTAGAGAGAAGTGAGAGTAAAGCTCAAGGCTTTTTTGAGTATTAAGCTGGTTCATTGTCAAACAAAGGTGCGACCTTTTTTTTTTAAAGAAGACGAAGCAAGATGAAGTTCATGAAGCTAGGGTCTAAGCCTGATACATTTCAATCTGATGGCAAATTCGTCAAGTAAGGAAATTTTAATATTCTTGTGTTTTTTTTGTCTATAATTTTTAATTCGATGGGTCAAGTGAAACCCCTACTGTGTTTTTGTCTGATTTTTGTTCTGTTCTGTTCTCTTTTCTATTCATTTTTCATCCAAAATGTTTTGCTTCTGTCTGGTTCTTGAAGGGTTTCTGGAAACATATGTCCCCTCCTTCTTCCCAAATTCTCTCGGTTTCGTTTTCTTTAACAGAAGCTTTAGAAATCCCTGAAAAAAAAAATCCGTATGCTCTAACTTATTTCTATATGGTTTAACTGTGAACGAACTCTGGTTTTGATTTTAGACTGTATAAGTTTTCATCATCATGATCATCATTATGATTGGTTTTACTCATCATACTTTTTTTTGCGGGAAATAGCACAAAGAAATAGATGTAACAAGAAATGGGGTATATGAGTTTCAGGAGTGGTCCATCCATTGGATGATCAGTCTTTGTTTATGTGTTGTTTTGTGGTCCTAATTTGTAAGAGCAAAGCGTGGAAAGTAAAAGAGAATGATGATAATGAGTACTCTTCAAATTTAGAAAGTGAAGAATCTCTCTTTCTTTTGTTACTTGTGCTTTTGTTTCTGTAAATATTTGGGACATCACTTCCAAATTTTTGACATCTGGATACTCCAAACTTGGCTAAAAATCATGTTTGCTTTGTTTTGTTCTGTTAAATAAAATATAAAAGGAATTTTTGTAGGCAAGATTCAGACTTTTGTTAGGTTGTTTAGGCTTCAACACACACAAAATCTGCCTTTGCATATTATTTTGATGAAATGTGACATATTACCTGAAAATGTATATTAAAGGACTTTTGAGTTTAGACTCTTTAGACTAAGTTATGTTAGAGACTTCTTGTTTAGCTGATTGTGGTTTTGGTCTCATCTGACCAACGATTTCTTCCCCTGTAGGTACGCTGTTTCGGATCTTGACAGCGATGTTACTATCATTGTGGACGAGGTCACATTTTACCTCCATAAGGTACGTTTCTGTAATGATAACAACAAAAGTTACTAATGGATTCTTATGTGATACAACTGTAATGTTTCTTATGCTACAATGTTACGTTTTCAGTTCCCGCTGCTATCAAAGAGCAATAGGATGCAGAGACTGGTTTATCAGGCGAGTGAGGAATCAACGGATGAGATCACTATATTAGACATCCCTGGAGGAGCCAAAACGTTTGAGATCTGTGCTAAGTTTTGCTATGGCATGACCGTTACGCTCAATGCTCACAACATAACCGCTGTTCGATGTGCAGCTGAGTATCTTGAAATGACTGAAGATGTTGACCGTGGTAACCTCATTTACAAGATTGAGGTCTTCCTCAACTCTGGCATATTCAGAAGCTGGAAAGACTCCATCATCATGCTTCAGACAACAAAATCACTTCTTCCGTGGTCTGAAGACCTGAAGCTTGTTGGTAGATGCATAGATTCTGTCTCAGCTAAGATTCTGGTGGACCCTGAGACGATCACTTGGTCATACACACACAACAGGAAGCTCTCTGGACCTGATACGATAGTTGAGTATCACCGCGAGAAGAGAGAAGAGAATGTGATTCCGAAAGACTGGTGGGTTGAAGATGTATGCGAGCTTGAGATTGACATGTTCAAGCGGGTGATGACCACTGTGAAGTCGAGTGGAAGGATGAACAATGGCGTAATCGGAGAAGCTCTTAGATACTACGTTGCAAGGTGGTTACCGGAGTCTATGGAGTCTTTAACATCAGAAGCTTCTTCAAACAAGTGTCTCGTTGAGACTGTTGTTTACTTGCTGCCGAGGGTAAACAGAGCGATGAGCTACTCTACTTGCAGCTTCTTGCTGAAACTTTTGAAAGTTTCGATCTTTGTTGGAGCTGATGAGACGGTGAAAGAAGATTTGGTTGAAAACGTGAGCTTGAAGCTTCACGAGGCCTCGGTGAAAGATTTGTTGATCCATGAAGTTGAGCTTGTTCATAGGATTGTTGAAAAGTTCATGGCGGATGAGAAACGTGGATCAGAAGATGATCGGTACAAGGAGTTTGTTCTAGGAAATGGGATTTTGTTGAGCGTGGGGAGATTGATTGATGCGTATCTCGCACTTAACCGTGATCTCACGCTCTCTAGCTTTGTAGAGTTGTCTGAGCTAATCCCGGAATCAGCTAGACCGATACACGACGGTCTTTACAAAGCCATTGACACTTTCTTGAAGGTAATAATAAGCATTTTTCAGGCATTCTTGTTTAAACAGAGCTGTGGTTTCTGAGATCTTGGGTTTTGTAGGAACATCCGGAGCTAACGAAATCGGAAAAGAAGAGACTTTGCGGGTTAATGGATGTGAGGAAGCTGACGAGCGATGCATCGACGCACGCAGCGCAGAACGAGCGGCTTCCGTTACGAGTGGTGGTGCAAGTTCTCTACTTTGAGCAGCTCAGAGCAAATCACAGCCCTGTAGGGTCTGTTGCAGCTTCGTCGCACTCGCCGCTGCCGCCTGTGAAGAAGACGGTGGAGGAGGAGAAAGGAGGAGAAGAAGCGGCGACGACGAAGAAGGTTGAGCTGAGCAAGAAAAGCAGAGGAAGCAAGAGCACGAGGAGTGGTGGTGGAGCCCAGCTGATGCCGTCGAGGTCAAGGAGGATATTTGAGAAGATATGGCCAGGGAAAGGTGAGAGTAGTTACAAGAGCTCTGAGGTTTCGTCTGGTAGCTCGCAGAGTCCGCCGGCGAAGTCGACGAGCTCGTCCTCCCGTCGCCGGAGACATTCCATTTCCTGAAGAGTCTGTTTTAAAAACAAATTTGTAAAGAGTCAAGGTATTATCAGTTACCTATAAGTGGTTTTAGGATTTGTGGTAGTTAAATTTTAAAACTGATGATGTTGTGTTCTGTGTTTCTTTCGTTTATCGTAAAGATTTGTTAACAGTTTCATTTAAGACTAATGAAGTAATATGTTCTAGTGAATTTCGAATTATAAGATGGAGACAGCAGTGTGAATATTTAACCTAAAAGGAATTGAAAACATAAACGAATATCAGTCTCAATGTTTAGGAGAAATTTACGTTAGTGACTAGTGTAACTGTGTAAGTGAGAGCACTTAGTCAACAACGTGTATGATTTAAGCTGTGATCTGTTGGGCCTTGTATGGGCTCAACTTAGGGGATGTTCTTACGTTTAGACGTTCATTTATCCGAAGATCTGACGGCTAGGAATCGCCGTCGGCCATAAGCTCAGAGCCAAAACCCAAAACCTCCTCCTCGTAACACAGCGGCGTTTTCTCGGCGGAGCGAGAGAAAGAGAGAGAGAGAGTGTTAGAAATGCAAACACTCAAAGCTTTGAGGAGAGTGACCGAACCCTTAAAATGGATTCGTCCTGTCTATTATGGAAGAAGCTTTTCTGCTCTGCCAAACTTTTCCGCTTCAGATGCCGATATCGAAGACCAGGTTTAGTTTTGGATCTTCCCTAAAATGTGCTTGATTTGATAGTCTTTCTGGAACTTTTTTCTATCGAATTGGTCATATATCGGAATCTCGTGGTTTTTACTTTCTGGAAATGTTGATAATATATGATTCAGGGAAACACTTGACTGAATTCTGAGGTTTTAAGTCATTAACCTAAGATAGTTAGAACAGAGCTATGTGATTGATGTTGAAGTTTGTTTATGGTTCTCTCTTAATTGAAATCTTTTTCTGTAATTGAAGGTTCTGGTGGAAGGAAAAGCTAAATCAAGAGCTGCCATTCTCAATAGTCCCTCTACTCTGAATGCTCTTTCTGCGCCTGTGGTATTGTTTTTTAGCATTTTGGACTTGAAGTCTGGTTTCTAGAGCTCAAATTATAGTTTTTTAGTTTGTTTTTTTTTTTTTAAACTGGTGTTTCTAGGTGAGTCGTTTAACGAGGCTATACGAATCCTGGGAAGAGAACCCAGCTATTTCGTTTGTTTTGATGAAGGTATACTACTCTCTAGCTTCATTTCTGCTCCTCATTAGATCATGTATCCTCTTGATGCATTGGTATACCACAATGTCCCTGGATTAAGCTACTGTTTCGATTTTTTTTTTTTTTTCTGAAGGGTAGCGGCAAAACGTTCTCTTCTGGTGCAGATGTCTTGCCTCTTTATCACTCGATCAATGAAGGTTTGTCTCTTGTTTTAGTTTCCATTGTTAAATACTTGGAAATGTTTTGTGAGGTTCAGCGCAAGCCATTTCATCGCTTGAAGTCGCTTAATCTGGTGAAGTTACTGAGATGAATTGCTGATGTATTGCCGCTTTTTTGTACAGGGAAAACTGAAGAATGTAAAGACTTTTTCAAGAGCTTGTACAACTTTGTATACCTTCAAGGAACATATTTGAAACCAAATGTGAGACTCCTAGACCTTCCCTAATGCTATGTGTTCGTATGACCAAGAGTGGCGTCAAAGAGCTTGAACCTTATTTCAATAGTATACGAATCTGATTTTGTAGATAAGACGCGAGGGTTGAAATTTTTTGAACCTTATTTCCTGCTCTTATACCTCAGGATTTTTTGTCTTACTGCAGATAGCTATAATGGATGGTGTAACTATGGGTTGTGGTGGTGGAATCTCAATTCCGGGAATGTTTCGTGTGGCAACAGATAAAACTGTATGTGGCTCGCTTATTATTCCGAGTCACCGAATTATTAGTGGCTAAGATGTTCTGACTAACCGTGGGAATGCAGGTGTTGGCACATCCAGAGGTCCAAATTGGTTTTCATCCTGATGCAGGAGCTTCCTATTACCTTTCACGGCTTCCTGGTTATTTAGGTGAACTTCATTTTTGGCTGATGTCTTCACTAGATTCATATTCTATGGATATCTGTAAAGTAAAATGATGGTTCAAATACTATATCTGAATCTGATTGACATACAAATACTTTCAGCTGCGATGTTTTAGTGTTTCTGAAAAGGGTTTTGTCTTGTTCAGGGGAATACTTGGCTCTAACAGGGCAGAAACTTAATGGTGTCGAAATGATAGCATGTGGCCTTGCTACTCACTATTGCTTACACTCGGTTTGATGCATTTTCCTTAACTTGTCCCATGTTTTGTTCTTTCCTCTTAAGCGCATTCCTTTCCTTATATTAGTCGTTATGGCAGAGACTTGAGATGATCGAAGAAAGGATTTGTAAACTGTTGAGCGATGATCCTACTGTCATTGAGGCTTCTCTTGCTCAATACGGTGATCTAGTTTATCCTGACAGTAGCAGTGTACTTCACAAGTAAAGTTTTTTTTTACTCTCCATATCATAAAATCTCTCTATAAACTATATCCCAGGAGGGTGTTTAACCAGAAAACTCTTTTCTCAGGATTGAGATGATTGATAGATATTTTGGGCTTGATACGGTTGAAGAAATCATTGAGGCTATGGTGAGAGATCTTTTCCTATATACCAACTTGAGGCCGAGTGATCGATCTGGCTTGAGAATTTTGTCAAGTTTTATGCTTTAACATCTACCCATGGCTTCAGGAAAACGAGGTTGCTGATTCCTGCAATGAGTGGTGCAAGAAAACTCTCAAACAAGTCAAAGAAGCTTCTCCTCTGAGCTTAAAGATTACTTTACAATCCGTGAGTCCTTTTAGTTTCTTCTTCTCCTTTGTCAAAATGCATTTCATTCTCTCCTGACTCTAGCTGTTTCTTTCTCTTCTTAGATACGAGAAGGTAGATTTCAAACTCTTGATCAATGTCTCACACGTGAGTACCGTATGTCTCTTTGCGGAGTCTCAAAGACGGTATCCGGTGACTTCTGCGAGGTAAATTCAATCACCAATTTCTGAATCAGAGCATCATCATCATTCTTCATATATTGATGAGATTCTTTTGTTTGTTGATAGGGTATTCGAGCCCGCTTGGTAGACAAAGACTTTGCTCCAAAGGTGCATAAACCATAGACAACCATAACAGCCTTTAAACTTCTACATTTGCAAACTCTTTTTGGTTATGGTTTGCTCCATGTTTCATCTTTTTGAAAATTTTGCAGTGGAATCCTCCGCGCCTAGAAGATGTGAGCAAAGACATGGTGGACTCCTACTTCACGCCGGCCACTGATGCCGATGATCAAGATTCTGTGCTGAAGCTTCCAACAGCTCAACGAGAGCCTTATGTCTGAGGAAACTACTTTTACTCGGTTGCCTGTAATAAAGAATTCCACCAGTCAACGCTCAACATGAGAGATCCCTGCATTGACCACTTTATGTCAAACTCTGTTTTTTCTTCTTCTTTTAATCAAATATCTTAGGAGTGACAAGTTTGTAACTGTCTTGTAACACAGTCTGTTTATTCATTTCTGTTATAAAGGAGCTTGATTGGATACAGATACATTACAACTCCTACCTTAGAATGGTGCTTTTCAGGTGATATGTGTGTCATGCATACTTCACACAAATGTTGTAACTAGCAAAGCTAGACACTTTACGTTACAGATTCATCTAGAGAAACTGATGCGGTGTTTTGAACATGCTTTAAAAGAACTTGAAACAGGCTCTTCTGAAGATGTAATAGACCATTCTAGTCCAGCTCGAGAAGATTCAGGAACACGCAGAGCAAGCAGGCGAGCTGCGTCTTTCCACCATGAAGCCTCGGTTTCTTTCTCCTCTAGTCTTCGTTCAACACGACTAAGCGCAGCCTCAAGCTTCAGTAACTCTTCTTGTTGCCTTGTCTCTCGTAGTTCGTGAAGCTTTTTCTCTAGCTCGTACGGACACACTCCATATCTTTCATCTTTCACCATCTCTGGTATATGATTCTTCGTCCCCTCATTGTCCTACAACAAACACCCAAATAATTACAATCTTATGCCTTCTTCATAGTTGCTTAAAGAGTTCAAAGCCAAAATGTAAAGAAGATAAAAAGTTGGTTTGTGTGATGATACTTTAAGTTTGTGTTGCCTTTGAATCTGATGCTCCGTTTGTCTCTCCCCTGCCTTTTCACTACATACCTCAGCATGGAGCTTTGGATTGTGGTCTGTTCCTCCATGGTAATCCTCTGGTTTTGAGACCTCCTCTTGAAGAACACTCGTTGATGACCCTTCGAAAATGGATGATGCCAAATTCGAGATGACCTGAGGAGAAAACTGGTAATCGCTTGCTTCTTTTGCATATGCATCATTGTTCGAACTCGAAGACACAGGTGGATTCTCCTGTAAAACCTTCTTCTGTAGTTCTTGTTTTGCATTGAGAAGAAACATCTCCATTTCCATCCGCAGGTTTGCCATTTTATCAAGCTCAGTTTTACTTGCAACAACAAGATACATCAAGAAAGAGCCAATCCCCATCTCCAAAGGTGCTTCTCTGCTTTGTGGCTCTGCACAAACATAATTATCAATTAACTATAGTAGAAAAGGAACAAAACAAAAATGTAACCAAACTTCTTACCATATCTTTGAGTCTTTGGCTTTTCATCCGACGGTCTACTTATGGGAGAATCATCATCTTGTTCGTCTTCTGCTTCTCTCTTCATCTTGGAACTTCTCAGGCCAGAAAGCCACCGAGAGACGACCCTCCGAGGTGTATAACACTCCACGACTGTGCACCCATCTCCTCTTCTCCGCCGAGAGTGTCCATGGCCTTCCATCAAATATTACCAAGAAGAGGACAGAAACAAATGAAACCATGTGTATCTGTGTTTGAGACAGGGCAAGGAGATTTATAAGGAAGAAGGTTTGGTGGTAGGAGGGACCGAGATCGGTTTGACATTGATAACTGTGGGACGGAGTCGTAACAGAGAGCGATGAACAGATGGGGAGAGGAAATAAATGACAATCACGAGACTTGCAGAGACAGAGACAGAGAGAGAGAGTATTTGGAGGGAAACTTAACTTTGTTTGTTGTGATTTTGAATGTTGCCTCATTGCTTCTTATCTGCCTATTGTACAAATGATTTGGCGGAAACTAATGTTTTCAATTCTTTTTGATACATTTGAAATAAATTTAAATTTACCTTCTATAGATTTTTGTAAATTTTATAAATGCCTTACTGTTTTGCCATCAACATAAGACTACTAAACATTTAACTTTTCTTGAATCCTTATGATATTTCAAGTACTTATAATTTTTTATATACACTAAAGTTTCCATCTTTTTATCTCCTAATTAAAAGATAAAATTTAACCCCTTTTTTTGTTTCAAGGGTTGATGAGAAAACCAAAAAAAAAAACATTTGACTGATGAAACTTTCAAGTTCTAGACTGCTCCAACAACCTCCCGGATATAGCAGCAGCAAGAGCAGCAGTAAACTTCGAATCTTTCGTTAAAGAAGACGCCATTTGTTGAACAAGAACGTCTTGCATCGTTCCTCTTTCATTCTTCTCCAAAGCTAACCTATGACCACCACCACCATTCACAAGATCCAACGTCACAGTGCTTGACCCAACCTGACTTGTAGCATCTCCTTCAAACGCATTCGGACCCAAGTGATTGTGCGTCCCTTCATATGTAGCTACCAGTAACGACGGATCCTCTGCGCTCCGTTGCACCTGAACCAACAACAACAACACCACAATATCATTATACAGCTCAAGAAGCAGATCGTTACAAATGAAGCTCAAAGATAATATCAAACTCACCTTCTTTTTAACAGGACAAGACGGCGCGAACGAGCATCTAAAGTAAGCTCTAGGCGACGGGTTATCTCTTGTAACCTTCTGTCCGTATTTCCTCCATTGATATCCATCTTTTACTGTCTGCAGATTAGTCCACAAAAAAAAAAAAAAAAAAACTGTTAAAAATTAATCCTTTGTAAATTTAGACAAAGATATTCAGACAAAACACTTACCAAGCTTGTGTCGGAAGAATCAGCAGGGACATAGACAGTAGAAATCTTTGCTTTGTTGAAGCTATCAGTGACGACTGGTCTTTTACATGAGAGAAGCTGATTTTTCTGCTCATGTTGATGATGATCTTCGTTGCTGGAGCTGTTCTCAGTTTTTCCACTACCGAGACCAATCGGAAACCCTAATAACTCATCCGTGTCTTGTTTTCTTTTCTTTGTCGGTTGCTCTGTCTGATCCATTTCAGGGCTTTGACGACTCTGAAGCTTCTCCAAATGGCTATGAAGAGCGTAGTATTTCTCACAGACTGTGGCTAGCATCTCTGTTAGCTTCTTGTTCTCTGAGTTTACTCTGTTTAGCTCCTCTCTTAACTCACTTGCGCTCTGTTCATCAAACCATCAATATTAAAAAAAATCACCATTAATTAACACACCATCATGGTTTATTTGGTTACTGTTGAGAGATTCATCATCGAACAATGAGAAAGACTGAAGTCAAAAGGTATTTGAGGAAATAAACAAACCTCGTCTTTCACCAACCATTTCCTTTCTAAATCAGCAGAAGTCGAAACCTTGACTTCTTTCTTCTGAAATGTGAAAAAAAAACATGATTAATTACCACAATCACAGTCCAGAGAAACAGAAATTAGATCAGGTGAGTGAGATCCGGACTCACCGGAAGTTTATCGGGGAAATTACGATCGAAAGGGTTGGTGTTGAGATCGAGAGATATGTCGAGAAACGAAGAACAATCCATTATAAAAAAAAAAAAAAAAAAAAAAAAATAATGTTTTTAAGACACCGAGCAAAGGAGTGGTTGGTACTTAAGAGACTAAAGTCTCGAATTGCTTTCTTCGGTCGCAAGTTGGTGGTCCGAGAGTGAATGAGAGCTTCTGGAGAGAAAAAAAGGATTCATTTATACGGAAACAAGAAAGAGTTGTCTGTCTGTGTGCATAAGAAATAAATTAAAGAAAGAGGTTTTGGATTTGTTAGGAAGGAAAGTCGTTGGAAAGTGATGATGATGATAATTGATAAATCTATTAAAGCTGTCTTCGATAAAGTCCAGAAGACATTAAGGACTTTCGGGTTAAAAAGGTAAAGAAAAAAAGCAAAACAAGACATGAAAAAGCTCATTGTCTGTTGAGTTACAGTGAGTGATTGGCTAAATCAATGGGCTTCTGGTTTGTTTATAACACATTTAAATATCTTTGGCGAATTAGTTCGTTAATATTAAAGATTTTTTACTTTATAAACTGTTAAGTAGTTGGAAAGTTATAAGACGACTCAAATACATACCGTCCAAAGACTTGAAATTTAGAGACTATGAGGTCTCAATCCAAAAACTCAACTAGAATAAATGATAAGAGAAAAATAGGTGTAGTTTATAAAAGAAGCAATTAAAAGGAGGACACAAAAAAATCAATATTTTCGGCGGCAGATGTCCCATGATGAAGAAAATTTTGTACGTCATACATAAATTTTTCAATATGGGTCGGATCCGTGTTTCCCTTTAATGTTCTGTTCAGTTTTAAATTTATTTTTGTATATGATAAAATAACAATGCTCCTCCAGATTCATAATGACCATACCAATTTACGAACTTTCCCTTGACTTGCTTGACCCACTAACAGATTGACTCTGATTCGGAGGTCGGCAATTCTTTTTATATTTTATATTTATATATATCTCTCGTTTATTAACAGAAATATTTAAATAGAAAGTTATGAGAAATTTGTTACCTTGTTAAGCTTATTCGTATTTAGTGCGTGATAGTTGTTGTTTGTCCTGGTTGTTGAGATTATTTAAACTCTGAATGAAGACGGTGTAGGACAAAACATGAAAAGTGACTTTTTTATAACCAAACAAGAAAAACTATTTTATTTTTGAAAATAGTTGTTTTTCTGAAAGAGAGCTGTATAGATTTCGATTCATAACTTTTTAATAAATAGTAACAAAAAGTAAATAACAATAAAAATACCCAGTCGACAAAAGATAGTAAGATACACAAATATAAACGTGGAAATTTTTGGGACAAAAGACAATAAAGAGATGGGCCTACACGGGAAAAAGGGTACAAAATCTTGACCGGACTCGACCGTGACTTCCAACTTGAGAGGCCTTGCGGTGTGAACAAGTTGCCACCTTGGGCGGCTCCGACACCGACCTCTTTCTTTCTTTCTTTTTTCAATAATATCGTGAGTGTCACTTTCATTACTTAATAATCTTGTGTCATCTTGATTATTCCTATATATCTTTTTGTCGTCTAATTATTCCGTTTCTTTCAAGCAAACGCAAGGATACAAATATTAAGGCCCTTTAACAAAACAAAAAAGGATGTACAAATATCAACCTCTATTCCATCTTGCAAAAAAATTCTAGACACTCATTTGATATGAATGATACTTCTGATTTATGAACTTCTTGTTGTAGCTTGACAATTTGGGTAAAGTCAGAATCATACATGAGAATTATTCTAATTTACTATCAATCCGTCTGAGTTTCTTGTGCCTAAATATATCTAATTACTCTAAAGAATTTGTCTTGTTTTCCAAAAAAAAGAACATTGAAAATTCACATATGAATTGATTTGTTCCCTAATTTAGAGTATAAAGAGTTTGTTGTTCAGAAAAGAAAAAAAGAATTTGTCGCTGGAATCTGGACCCTCTTTTATCACTGGAGTTAAACCGAAATCTAAATTGATGTATAAGGTACATAAATTTGATATTCTAACTACTTAAAAAGCTTTTAGAAGTGGCTAAACAAAACGATGGCATAATTTGATGTGTAAAGGGATTAGTTTCATGGCATAAACCAGCAAAACAAATTCTCAATAAGACAACCATTTAGTCATTTACCCATATTATCACTTGGTTATTTCTTTATATATATATATATATTCTTTTTAAAACAAGGGTTATCACTTGGTTAGTTTGGACCCAAACTTTTTAGTTTTCAGACCACATTGTTAGTTGATCGTAGCAAAGGTGATATATCGCTGCCAATTGACTACCAATGAGATATTGGTCACGCTAGATATTAATGTTAAAGATCGATGAACATTTATAATACTGTTGTTAATGTAGAAATTAGTTAGGGATCGTGGAAAAGTTTATTAAACAAGTCTATAATGGTTGGAAAAAAACCCAGGTAGTTGTAGTGTATTGATCCTTTTTTTGGTAAATTAGTTTATTGATCCTAGGTGGAGTGATAAGACCTTATAATATAAGACCATCTCTAAGTCATCGTCTACATCCTCCTCTCGGATATTCTGCATGACGACGTCAACATGATTACGTCATTACTCATTAGTCATCACTGATCAGCACCTCTAAGCATGTGTGAATTACGCTTGTTCCTCGACCAAACCACGTTCGTCTACATCCCATCTTGAATATTTCAACGAGAAAAGAAACATGCCAAAAACAGAGAAAGAAAAATCGACTGACTTCACACCTCCTGAAATCATAATTTGCTGATCCGAGTTTTAGAGTCAATTTCATAAACAGAATAATATTTTGGATAATTGTTACCTAACTCTTATGATAGATTTATGTCAAATGTTTACGTGAATTTGAGTAAATGGCTTCAACCAGGAGAGTAGTAGACTAGTAGTGCACACATTCTCAGAACAGTATGGAATTATTTATTAAAAAAACAAATATTATGACAAAGGAAGATGCTATTAAATTAGCTAGTGTATACGAAACAAGCTAATGCTTAACTATATACCAACATTTTTCACAGCGTAACGACTAACGACCATTATATATCTATATAATATACAGAGAAATATATTATGTGCTATCTTTAAAAAAGACTCAAGCTGATGATGGGTCAAGCTAACTAAAAGTTAAAACAAAATGGCATAATATAATCTGTTTCTGATTTCTTGAAATCGCATGTGCATTTCATTAAAAGAAGATTAAAAATGGACCAAATCGAAGTGTTTGTAAGTATAAATCCCAGACTATAGTTTGGTCAAGTCACGAGAGCTTTCAGCCAAAATAATATTCCATCCTTCATTATCATTTGCTTGTGTCTTTTTCTGAATAGTGGGTGATGCATTCATGATTCAACAGCATCGTTACGTAAGTAGGCCTACGTCATCGTCTATGCATCACGTATGGATACAGCTTATCCTAGTCTTGTTTGTTTCTTTGCTTTGTCAAAGGGCGTATTTGTCAAACTTTAAAATGAATTTGATGTGGAATTGTTACAAAAGTAACCGCATTTTGGTGGCGGATTCGTGTTTTAACACGTAAACTCGTTTAATGCTTTGGGTTCGATATTTTACGCTGACCAAACTTGAAACGTGTGTAGCCATCTAGACTTTTGAGTTTTGGTCCTGGTGTTTTATCTGAAGTGGATTTCCGGAGACTCCTGTCAAAAAAATCTGCTCACTTTTACCCGGACACTAATCCAAAAACAAAATTGCTAACAACTTTTTAAATTGTTGTTTCTCTCCAGTTAATTAGTTCCAAAACTCGACCCAACCTTGAGAAAAAAAAAAAAACAAGATTCATGATTTAAAATCTCTTTTTTTTTTTTTGATCAACCACATAACTTTTCATTTAAAACTTTTACTCACGAACTACAGTGGTGGGTCCCAAATGGGAGAAAGAGCGGTGAGAAATTAAACGACTTTTGAAAAAAAAAAAAAAACAAGATTCATGATTTAGAATCTTAACTTCAAGAATATTTGGGTTTCAAACTTAAGATCGTGTGGGATAGGTTTTCCATGTCAACTTTGCTAGCCAAAGTCTAAATTATAGGATGATTAATTAATTGCATGTTTACGCTTAAGATGTATTTATGTATTTGCTTACTTGTGTTTTTCTGTATTTTAATATATTTATAAAATGATTTCAATGCTCATGAAATTTCAGGCAAACCCAATAATTCAAGTCTACATCTATAATATTGGTGCACATGATTACAAAAACATACAGTATACTCCAAGATATTTTGAGCAACAATCGTTTTTGCCCAACATACAGAAAACTAGAAAAGTAACAATTTATCCGCGCAAAATGGATTTAAGTTTGGTGATTCAAGTAACAATACCATTAAGATAGTTCTTCTGTTCTTAAAACTTTAACTTATAGATTTGCACTGACATCTTTTCTCTGTTATACACATGAGTTTCATCTTTTATATCCACATTTGATGATGACAATGAATTTGATGAATACTGATGTATGATTTAGAGTGATGAATAACCTTGTAATCGACCCAACAACAACAAACTGAAACATGTTCTCCTCTCACCAAAGTTGAAACTCTCTGAAACAAAGCTCTAAAACATGTCCTACTCAAACCAGAGCCAAATAAATATTTCAAAATCCACCACCTCTCATATTCGAAGACACATCACATATAGCTTATGTAACATCAAAACGAAAAATAGTAAATAGAAACAAAGAACATCTATCGGTTCCTAGTTTCAATCCCTTCTTCAGTGATCTTTGGTCTTTCAATTCGCAGTTTCGTACTTGTAAAACTCCAACATCTCTTCCTCCACAGGGTGAGTCTCGCCCACAATCACAAGACAATGCAACGGCGCTCCAAAATCAACACCCTCGAGCTGCTTCATCGTCCCCGTGACTATCTTCTGATCCTCAGCGCCAAGCCTCGCAAACCCCACACACTCCGTCTCCTCACCATAAACAGAACCACCACGCTTCCGCTCAACTTCAAGCAGCTGCTCGATCGCAGTATTAACAGTCATATACCTCGGCGGCTCATACTGTTTCTTCC